CCCTGGCCAACGTCAGATCAGAGACACAACAGAGACCAAGCGTAGCGCAAGTGTAGAAAGTGCATTGACAAGAACGTTAGTAGCCCGAACCCAAACCCACCCTGGCCAATGTCAGATCAGAGACACAACAGAGACCAAGCGTAGTGTAGGTGTAGAAAGTGCATTGACAAGAACCGTAATAGGCCTCTAGCGCGGTTTCAGAGCCGACAGCACAAACATGTCCATAATGATTTGTTATACATACTCCTACGACCCCTGGATCCCTGTACCACTTCTCACAAGAACAGTGGACGTGGACACAAAAAACACCTCGAGATCCCTCAGCCTGCCGGCCAGCAAGGATGGGGCCGGGTCAAATGCTGACCCTGTAGACTCTTGGATGATCGTTTCCCCAGGCCCGAGCAGGTGCTAAAAGTTAAATATCAAGTTCAACATTTTAATAAACTTACCATATAGTATATCTGGGTGAGTTATAGTAATTCGCGGGTCGTCGCTTATTTTTGTTAATTTGGAAAGTGCAATTAACTGACGTCGTCGGAAATACAAAATTAAGTGATGTCGGGTCGGAGCCAACATTGGACCACATGGACATACGCGCGCACAACAACACTACATTGTCAGCAACGCCTTTCTCTTTGACAAGGCCGGAGTTTCGTGGATGGTTTTCATCGGGTCGCTGGACAATTGAATTCCGTTGGGCTAGGGCTTCCGCTGTTTTTTGGTTAGAGTTAGACCTATTTGGTGCAGATGGGCCTTGCGGCGTCTCTTTAAAAACCACCCACCCCTTCCACCCCAGCAGATGGAGGAACGTGCCTATCTGCTGCAGATCGGGCTTTTCGCGTTTTGGTGAAAAGGCGCCCCTTCCACTCCAGCAGATGGAGGAGGCGCGTCTATCTGCAGATGACAGGCCTTTTGCTGCGTGTTGATTGGAGACCACCGCTTCCAACGCAGCAGAAAGCATAACGCTCCTATCTGCAGCACATAGGGCCTCTACTGTTTTGATGAAGGACAACCCCTTCCACTCCAGCAGGCGGGAAACGCGCCTATCTGCAGCAGATAGGGCCTCTATTGTGTTTTGATGAAAGACAAACCCTTCCACTCCAGTAGGCGGAGGAACGCGCCTATCTGCAGCAGGTAGGGCTTCTACTGTGTTTTGATGAAAAACAACCCCTTCCATTCCATCAGGCGCAGGAGCGCGCCTATCTGGAGCATATAGGACTTTTGCTGTGTTTGGACTTGTAGCCGTATATGTTTTTGTTCTGTGTGTATGAGTCAAGAGCCTTAATTTCAAAAGGTGGGTCGCAATTTTCAGGTGAGGTCGCTGAGGTCGGTATAATTCATGTAGATATATATATATATATATATTTATGTTCGGGGGGGGTGATGAATCAAGAGTCTACATTAGGTACCCTTACTCTATCCTTCAAGCCCAGTCAATTCCTTCACCACTACAATCCAAATCTCTCCACATGAGCGCTCGCATGAATGCGGTGCCAGGTCACTCCAGTGCAGTGGCATCATCTGGCACCACAACCGGAACTCGCACGAGCCCTGGGCGGTGCAGAAGGTTTTTGCAGCGCAAGGCACACCCAGCCCCTCCTAGGCCCTAGGGCCCTAGGGGATGGGTTTGGAGCGTCTTGGGCAACTATGAGTAGTCCATGGTAGTTCCAAGCGACTACGAAAGGCAAAAACATCCAACTTTTAGCTTCAAGCCTTCGTTCGCCTCCAGATCCCACCGTGTACTCGGGTGGTGCCGGGAGGACACGGGTCACCGTGTAGGTGCCTCCAGGTGCCTCCCGTGGATCGGTTCGCTCGGATCGAAGGGCCGCCTCCGGCAAGGTCAACTCCGGCAACAGCGGCTGACCTGACCTGCTGGCAGCTTGCACGCAGCAAAAGTGGGCGAACTCGTGCGTCTGTAAATACTTTGAACATCAATTTGGGTTAGCTAGTGAAACCTGGAAAGACATATTCACATATATTCACCATTCTTCGCCAGAGGATTTCACCACGAGGAAAATCAACATCACCTTTAAGCAAAACCAGGTAACCTGTGCGGAGTCCTTTCGAGTAGGGGAACAGCAAAAATCACAGCAGGGGGGCCAAAAGGTGTCCTTATGATACTTCTGGGCCAAGCTTGCGACAAATCACCCGGATGCAGCCAAGCTGTTCTCTGAAGTGAACGGTCAACCCAAATGGACGGACGACCACCCAACCCCTGACTGGGTCTTGACCAGCGAAACGGTGAACCGCTGCAGGTGCACTTCATTTCTATCATATTCCCAAACACCCCATGGGACTGCCATAGATGCCGACCAGTTGGGGTGGTGCCAGGGGGGTCAATGTAGGCATCTATGGCAGTCCCATTCGTGTCTGGGTATTGGATGGTATTGGTATCTCCTCCTGTGATGAATTGAGACCTAATCCTCGCCCGAAAGATCTCGGATTCTCTGATTGTGGACGCACTTGTCGCATGGTCCCAAGAACAGCTGTGCCCATGCTCAACAGGTGTCGCTTCTTCATCTTAAATCCTGACCCAGGAAGTAGGAAGTTGGCGTTCCATGGCGCTCCAGCTTTTGAATTACTATATAACATTATATAACCTACCCTGCACCTAGCCTCCTACCCTTCCCCACCTGCCGCACACCACCCCCAGCATCGGAGTAGCGGTCTCTTGCCCAAGTACCCTGCCTGTCGATGATCCCAGCAGCCAGCAGCAGGACCGACACCTGTCGGGGGGCTCCGCCGTCCCCACTCCGCATCGCTCCGTGACGTGAAGTGACGTGACGAAGAACGAAGACCGTTGGAAGGTCAACACTGATCAACACGTATAGGAAAACACACACGTGACGTGTGGGGGCCAAATATAGAGCATGGTTCCTTGAGGTGCCATCGAGTTGAAGCTGTGGTGGTGGCTACCACCATGCGCAAACAAAAACTTCCAACTGCCACCCAGCTGCTCCATGTCGGTCATGGTCATCGACCAATCATCATGTAAACAATGTACCGTCTGTGTGAAATGAATTTCTTAAAGTGGCCTGTGTACTTTCACCCCCGCCTTTTGGCACCACTTTGATGGATGAATCAGCGATGTTGGGGCAGAGTTGGATATGCCTCGGGTGTTTTTCGTGATGATTCCATGATATTCCATATCAAAAACGATCCATGACACCTCTTTCCACCCACCTAAATCGCCTCCCTGAATCCTTCGGGATGACTGGCACGACAAAAGTCAACAAACCTCACACATCACCTGAACTTCTCCAGCAGTGGGCTCGATGCTGCTCGCGGGAGCCTCACAACGATGGGAGGACGACCTTCCTTCAGCTCAGCCATAAGATCTCCAAACAAAGAGGTAGGACTATAGAGGTAGGTAATGTAGGTATAGTTGCTGCCTCTTTACTGCAAATGTAGGCATTCCAAAAGGGAGAAGTGCTACATTCCCAAAGAATAGACATGTTGGCTGTAGAAACACAAGCGATGACGCATGAAAAAGCAACATCAATATACCGCTGGTGCTCCTGAAACACTTGTCCGGCATGGCGGACCACCAGCGGCGATATGCGACGAATTGCATGTAGAAGTTGACTTCAATGAAACGCATTAGTTTAAATCTGGCAACAGTGGATGGCCCAGCCCTGTCAGGAAAATGGGCAAAACACGTGACATCCAGCTGCTGCATGTGTCTCTCCCATGTGACACAGGTGGCTCGCTCTCATAAATCAATTTTGAGCAGTGCAAAAAAGGATCCTTGCATCTAGATGACGGGTAGAATCTGGCAATTGTCTTGGCACGAATTGCCCAAATGATTTGTTCACCAACATCCTGCAAGTCGCCAGCTACAGTAAGCGTTCAGTGAAGCGAGTCATCCTCCTCCCTCAATCAAAGTGGAATATATATATATATATATATGCATATAAGCCCTGGTAGATCCTGTATCCTCTACAAAGGGGCACATGATTGTCTGACCTGGTCATTGAGAACATCCGAGCGCTGTGAAAAAAGTCCTTCCTGGATTTGTTTCCTAGGGGGTTATATGGGCATCAAACATATGTGTCAGAAATATGACACTGTATCAAATTACATCAGGTTACATGGGCCATCCATTCTTGCTTCGAGGTCGCCCCCGGGGGCGGCACCATGCCATGCGCGCAAGCTTTTGAGCCGGCTGGCCACGGATCTGTTCCGAACGGGAAGGGGTCCGCGCCATGGTCCTTAGATAGTCTTTTCAGTAGTAAGTGAGCCATTTTAGTAGATTCTGATGTTTTATGGTGATATTTTCCAGTGTTTCAGCCGTAAGTCCCCATAGTCTAAGGTTCTGAGGGCACACCAGCTTCCATAATATCTGTGCCCCAGAACACTCACGGAACCACAGGTACTGCAAGCCGAACACCGAACACCATTTCACGCGCCTGGGCTCCTGTTCCATCTCCTCAGGTGGTTAGACCCCCCTAACCATCGAACCTCAGGTCGTTGGAGCCCAAACGGGTCAGGCCGTTGCCATATCAACCACGCTGACCAAAAGAACGGTCGGTCAGAAAAACGGCTCCCCTCTTCCTGCAAAGTGCCAATGCCAAAGAACAGGAAAAAAACATATATATATAATATAGCGTGTGTGTTTTTCTTTGGGGGTGGGTGCCATATGTATGTATATAACTTATATATATACATACAGTACATCTTTGTCTGGCATGGAACATCGCCCATGAACTGAGTGCTCTGAACAAACTGAACAGTCAAATCGCACCTGTTCCGTGTGCTTTTTGCGAGGAGCAAAACCCATGACCAAGCGAGGGCAAAGAGGCGTTTGAAGGTGAACCACTGACTTGCAATGCTGCTTGGCAGGAGATTTGGCCGTGGGCTCTTCCGGGAGTGTGAAAACTATTAGGATGCCATAAGTGACCAGTGCGGACTGTTAATCGAACTCATATAGCTCTTCAAAAATCTCCAGTCTGGTCTAGCTCGTACTCAGGTAAACAAGATGGAGAGTGAATGGCACAATCCCCAAGTTCACTGGTTTATATGGACCCTCAGAACCCAAATCATCTTTGTATGGGAAATGTGCATATATGTATAAATGTAAACATGTATATATATATATATACTGCCTACATTGACCCCTGGAACCACGTCAATATCGGATGGAGTGTCTGGGTAAGACATCTTGGGGTGCCAGTGCCATTTGCACCGAAACCAATGTACTCAAAGCTAACGCTTCGCTTGATAGGAGCGGACTCTAACGCAATGAATCTTGGGTGGCATGCGACCGTTTGCCTAAGCCTGGGAGAAGATCGAACCCCGAACCACAAGCACATGGCGTGGTCTTGTGCTTGTGACAGCAAGAGACCATGCCTGGCGTGATTTTCCAAGCTACTTGTGAGGGTGGACAGGTAGACCACAGTGGGCTCCACTTGACGGTGATTTTTTTAAAAACATGTTGCTCGCAAAGCATCGCAGCATGTTTTTTTCTGCGTGCGTTTTCCCGCCGTCCAATCCACTTGGAGAGCCTCCCTACGTTCCTCTCCGCACAATCAGAGCCAGTCAGAAGCATTGTGGAAGCCCTCACGATTCTAGAGGTTATATAAGTTAATGCATGTTCAGTGCTATGAGACTCGAGACTATTTGGGTGCATGATGGTGCATATTACAGTGCATGTATCGTTTTACCAGCAACCAACAGTAAACCGATATCAAATAAATAATCATCTTGCAGTGGGTCAAAGCCCCAGAAGACAGTCTATCGATCTGGGAATGTTCACCTATTGACCATGTTGTCGTGCCCATATGCGAACACATTCACACAAGTTAAGAGCAAAAGGCTTGGGCTTGCTGTCCAGGAACTAGACAAATAAACAACATGATCACCCAAAAAGGATTCATCCAGTTCCGGAATTTTAAAAACAATAAACAACAATATAGAACAACCTTAAGATACTTTAAGCAAAACCAGAAAGGCCTCAACAATCATTGGTGAAGCAACTGTCTTCCTTGAACTGATCCTCCATGTGCGTGTCCAAGATTCTGGATTCTGGTGTATTCAGCACCGCACCTGCTCAAGTATGGGGTTCCTGACAAAACTGGAAGAGAGTTCCAAAATCTCTTCCATATGGATCAAACAATGTTCAATCAATGTTCTAAAATTTACCATGACCAAGGACATGGATCCTTCATAAGAGTCCTGTGAGCTCTTCTATGACCTATATGGATCCCTCAATATTCCCATCCCGAAAACCAACATGGACCCTGACAATGGCTCGGTCTTCACCGGTATGTAGCAGTTTAACTAGCAGTTGATGTACGATATGACACAAGTCACAAAACAGCTCTTACAGCCACAAACCTTTGCCGGACATGGCAAACAATCATCAGTTGCTTCCGCCTGGCTAAAACTCCCATCTTAAAACTCCCACGGCAGATGAGTAATGGGTGGATTTGCATCCGAACCAACGGAACAGAACTACGCAGCAAAATGGGAAGCCACATGGTGTATTAAAACCTTTTTTTACCCAGGATATCACTGAGATCACAAGCAACAGTGGATGAAGTGATGATAAACATATGTACCAAAAATAAAACATGTTTCATCTTTGACCGACTGTTACTGGTAATTGGACACACACATGGATACACCGTTCCATGACGCTCAAACCTCTGGCAGCATCTTGCACATGACAAAGGACAAGGACCCGGCATTACGGCATTGCAGTGACCAGTGTGGCCGGGTTGTTTCCCCATGCATATCATGTCCCAACCCTCATCATAGGATATCATAGGAACGTTTCAACCCTTCAACCCGTCACCGTCCACAGCGTCTCGAGCGTCCAATTGCACCGGTCTGAAGACCTGTTCTGACGGTCTGCACATGTGGGCGAGGCGGTCTGCACCTTCTGAGAATGTGTTTGGATGTGTTTGGGGGTGAGTGCAAGGAGTGTCCAGTCATACCATCTGAGGAGGTATGACTGAGCCCTAGGGTTCTTCATCCTGAAGAACCAAACATCCTCAACCCAAACAGCGCTTCCCGAAGAAGAAACAGCTTATCCACTGACCTAGGAGTCATCCACAACTGCTCACCCACGAACCTTCCACCGTGTGGGCGACAAACAACAAAAACTACCTTCGCTCAGCTTGCCAGGGGCCGACCGGAAAAGCCGCCCAGCTTCAGTTGCCCGGTCTTTCGGTAGAAGACCTGGTGGAAAACGAACAGCCGCGAAAAAGAGTTCGTGGTGTTCCAAAAAGCGGCGGCCCACGGAAGGGCCGAAGAATGGGCCATTTTCTTGCGGTGGGGGGAAGGAGGTTAGACTTCAGCGCCTGGAAGTCGAGACATGAACCTGTTGGGGAGCGCCATGGGACCTCCGGTGGTGTTTAAGGGGGGTTCGGTGGAGGCACCAGCGAACATAGCCGGGTGATCAGCTGTCCATACTCAAGTCTTGCACACCACACTGTTCCGGGAACGCCCCTCCACCCTTGACCAAGCTCTTAAGCATGTAAAGAGAGGTTTATGGCATGGCTCAGTTGATCTCTAAAGTACTTTTCAGTGAAATAGGTCCATTCCATCATCTTTCGCGACCACCTTTGAGGATTAAATCAAGATAGGGCAATGTGCGATGCTTGCTGTTTGGCTTCCCCTCGGTGAAGCTGCGCCTCCCAAAAGACCTGGACCCGACTTCAAGTACGGAAAATGGACACATGTAACCTTGGTGTGGGTACCAGGAGGGTCCAGTCATTCTGAGGATGTACCACTGGAGCCCCAGGAGTAAACAACAAACAGGTATAGTACAACTGTCCCGATGTTCTGTGCTAAGGTCGACTCCGATCCTTGCCTTCAACTGTGATGCCCAAGACACCTGCCGCACCCATGCAACCCGACTCCCGACACGAAACGACACGAACTCCACCTCGGCACTCAGGTGGAAGAACCGTTCCACGGTGAACTCCACCTGGTCCTTCACCATGTACAAAAGTGCACTTTGCCTCACTCGTCGAGAACGACCCAGGCGCTTGAGAAGCATGAGAAACCCACTACTTGAAGGGAGAAAACAAGATGTCCCAAACACTCCATGGAGACGGCTCTTTTCCATTCACCTGATTTTTTGTTCAGCAGCTCTCACCCAGCCTGGAAGAAATAGGACCCCCGAAAGAAACAAACTCTCTCCAACACCGGTTCCCTGTCCATGCTTGCAACGCTTGGATTGTCGCTCCGTTGTCATAAGTCATAAGTGAAAACTCAAAGACCATGAGACTATGCGATGGTGTCCTTTTGGTCCTGACTGCGGGAAAAACTTGTCTTTGAATAATGCAATGGAAGTGGCTTGTTCTTGATCCAGAAAAATGACCCGTCACTAGCTTTTATGTCCCTACATTCCTTCCTGTTTTTTTGGTATCCCTACCTTCCTTGGTCGAACTATCATGTAGCACAAAAAGCAGGAGTTCACAAATTCCCCTTCCAGAATCCTACGTTTTTTCAGTGCCCTCTCCTCCGCCCTCTCAACACCCAGTCGGGTGGCCCTTGTGCTCAACAGAAACACCGTCCTCCACTGATGGTGCACGGTACCCGGGCAACTCAGAATCAATGAATTGGAGGCCACCATGTTCATTCCTATTCTGTTCTCCCTTAGCTGCTCCTATTGCTCCAAATCTTGTCTCAACATTCCAAAACCTCATTGCCACTGCCACTGACAAAAAAAAATCTGTAGAGATCCACATACCCTCTCAGAGGTCATTGGAGGCGATCGCGGAATTGGGACGTCCTCACCCTTCAGCTCCGACGAAGATCCCAAACGGGTCTATACTGCTATTGGCAGTCCCAGCTTTCGGTCGGTTTGGACGTTCTCGGCCCTCCCTGAGGGCTCCAGTCGTACCTCCTCAGAAGGTATAGACTGGATCCTCGTGGCACCCACCCCAGGCCCCACCTTCGAAACGAAGGGTCTCCCATATACAGTAGGACCCTGCAGTGGTACATATGGGATGGGCGAAAAAGAATCAGGGCACCCTTCAACCTCTCTTTCTCTCTTGGGAAGCATTCCGCCCAGCTGCAGTGTGCTTTTCAGCAAGGCCGATCCCACTCCTCGGTACAGCTCCACGAACCTCGCGAGCGGAGAGAGAGAGAGAGAGAGACACACGGCGCCACACACTGAAATGACTGGGACGCGGAATGGTTGCCACATGAATGGGTCATACATGCAGTATATAAATGTACCAGGACCATCCCATCCAGGTCACCTGGCTGGAAGCAGCCCCCACACGTGTGTAGTGTGGATCACCCTGAAAGGATGGTCCAGGCAGCCCAGGCATATATATCCCTAGGGCTCCAAGTACCTCCTCTATATCCCTAGGGCTCCAAGTACCTCCTCAGAAGGTGTTTGGACCCTCCAAACCTACATAAGAGTGTCTCCAATCACTTTCTGAGAAGGTACTTGGATCCCTAGGTATATATATATATATATCAGTATATTGGGTCTGTCCAATCACCTGGGCCTCAGTGGATAATGATGGTGGCTGTTGCAGGCCTTGCAACTGAAAGAGTGATGATTCTTGTCGTTCACTCGACGCAAAAGACCAACCCCTACCAGGCCGGAAGAGGTCTTTTACAACCCATGTCTAGTCCAGAATGCGTAGTCGAGTAGTCGAGTAGTCAAGAGTCTACATGACATTACATGACCACCCATCCGTTCGGGGTCACCTGGCTGGAAGCAGCCCCCACACAAGTAGTGTGGATCTCCAAACAGGACACTCCTTGGATGGTCCAGGTATATACCCTAGGGCTCCTGTCCCATATCCTCAGGTTCGGTGGTCCGAAGACCCCCAAGACCACCCACCCAAACATACCCATCGAACCGAAACGGAGGTGGGCTGTTCGGAGCCCTAGGGCCTAAGGGATACAACTCTTCAATCAATGGATGGTCCTCGTGGCCCGATAGAGTCCAATAGGGTGGTCCAAAAAGGGCTCGCTGACGTTAGCGGCAAAAGAAGGAGGTCGGGGCCCGGAGTCCCGAAGCATGATGGTTCTTTGGACGGATTTGACAGAAAAACAGGTGGAATCCATTCTGTTAAAATAATCTTGGACTTCCAGAGTAGGTATATCTTCTAGAATGCATGGAGATATCAAACAACAATTGCCATGATTATACAAAATGCGACTGGCAACCCTAGGGCTCCTGTCCCACATCCTCATGCCAGGGGGGTGATGAGGATGTGGGACAGGAGCCCTGTGGCAAGTGGTTGTTGGACTCCCCTTCATCTAAGCCGAATCTTCTCGGTGAGGGGTGCGATGACTTCCCTCTTGGGACCAATTTCTGCCATCTACTCCGGAATCCTCGAATAGAGATTCTAAGAGATCAATGAGATGCGAGACACAGGGGGTTAATAGATGCTGAATGATGCTGATCCAGCACAGAGTACCAATTCTATTTGATTGCTAGTTGAAGACCAGTCCCGAAGAGGTCGTCCACCCTCAGATACCCTAAGAATCCATACGGGCTCAACCTCGTCGGAACAAGACAGCTGGCATAGCAGGGCGAGTTCCTGACCTCAGGAGCCCTGAAAGCACCCATAGCAGGACGTCCTGACCCTGAAAGCGCCCTTCTTCTCAGTTGAAAAGCACCGGACTTGCTCTCCCACACGAGCCAGTCGAACGGTGTCCCACGAGCCAGTAAAATGCGGAACCATGCGGAGCCTCTGCCACAGACTGAGCTTTTCCGGCTCTTTGTCCTGGATGAGAAGCTGCGAGAAGCTACCTGATGTGGGGTGCATCCTTTGGGGGAGGGGCCTTCCCTGGCTCATTTCATTGATGAGTTTCAGAAGATTCTCACAAAGGTTGAAGAACCGGACTGTTCGGCTATCCCAGTTCGGTACCCCAGGTGACGGGTCCTATAGTATCTGGTCTGACCATGTCTGACCTCTCTTGGGAGTGCTTTCAACTCGAGCATTTGCTCCGATTGCGCACGCCTGGTCGTCGCTAGCGGTCCACCCGATCCAGAGCACGCGTCAACAACGGACGATCCTGCAGGTCACACCACCTGGGACCGGGAGGGCAATGGACTTCTATCGGATTCCAGTTCCCAAACCATTCCAAAGCGATCCCCTCCGGGTGTGGTCGACCATCCACGCGCCACCTACTCCACCAGAACCAGTTTCCGATCCGGCTTCTGAACCGGTAAAAAAGAACTACGCGCTCCTCGCGGAAGGAGAGGGCACGGATCATCTCCACCGAACCTGGCGCGTCTCGATCCGTGGATCACGACCGGAAGAAAATGGGACGGGAGCAACAACCGAATGATGAATCGGGAAGGTTGCCAGGAGATTAGGTGTTCGCACCTTTTGACATACAGCATAGTGTTTATAAATTGAACTGTTAATTGTTCTTGTTTCCGAAGCACTCTCCTGGCAAACAGTTGAACTATTACTTATGGGATGTTGCCCAAAAAGGAGCCAAGTCTGGTGTGGTGGATTTATGGTAACATGTCCTCCCTCATCTTGGACTTCATACAGGACCCTGTCATGATGGATTCTTGAGACACATATCGAAACATCGCCCGCTCAACGAGTCCCCACTGTACTGCTCCGAGTCCTCACTGTACCCACTGTACTGTCTCCGCCTGAACGTTCCATGCCAGCAGGCTGTGAGCCTTTGGACGTCTTGGAAGTGACCTGGCGGGGACATCCAGGGGCGAACCAACGCCCGTTTCGCACGGTTTCGACCTCCTTGGAACATACCACACCAACATCATCGCTTGACGATGGCAAACAATGTCTGGCTAGACTCGCTTTCGCTCCCCGGTTAGATGTGCAGCTGGGTTTGGGATGTTATTTGCACCTGGTTTGGGGCCCAAGATCAAGAGCGGGCTGAACTCCCGAACTCACAAGGCATTCTTGAATTGGCAATGAAGGAACCGATTCACAAAAAAACACTTAACACATATTGCGGTTTGGGGGCTTTCACCCGTCGGGTCGGTTTCCGCATCACCGGCTGTCACTGGCCGAGCACCATCGTCTCAGGTCGCTGTGATGACGGTCATCGTACGGCTTTTTTGGAGCGACTGAATGGGATGAGCAGTGCCACTTAAACAAAGCAAGGATGCAATTAAGCTATATGTCAAACCCCTATGAGCGGGCCAAGCTGATCTCTGTCTTCTGTTTGATGTGAGAACTTGCGTCATGAAGGAAGGCAAATGAACAAAGCAAGAATAAAGAAAGAACCTGCTTGGCTAGGGGGCTTACCTTGACATGTTTTGATGAGTCGACTGACATATACCCACAAGTTCTCAACAGCTATTGAATAGCTATTGAACATCAAAGTGGCCGCCCGAGGCGGCAGAATGTACAAAGCCGTTGCTCCATCGGTCGTTGCTGCATCTTTGTCAGCTTCGGCACCAAAACAAACGCACAACTTCAAAATTCCCATTCTGGGCAGCGATCTGCAAGGCCGTTGCCCCATCTGTTGTTGCTGCATCTTTTTAGCTCCAGCCTCCAGCAACAGTCGCACAACTTTCGAGTGGCAGTTCTTTGCTGCAATGTGCAAAGCCGTTACCCCCTTTGCATTTGCTGCATCTTTGTCAGTGCCAGCCTCAAGTAACAACAGCACAACTTCCGAGTGGCCTTTCTTTGCTGCAATGCACAGAGCTGTTGCCCTATCATCTGTTGCTGCTGCATCCTTGTCAGCTCCACTTTCGATCAACAACTGCACAACTTCCAACTGGCTCTCCTGGGCTGCCATGTGCAAAGCCGTTGCCCCATCTGTCGTTGCTGCATCTTTGACTGCTCCAGCTTCCAGCAACAATCGCACAACTTCCAATTGGCCATGCTAGGCTGCCATGTGCAAAGCGGTTGCCCCATTTGAACCTGCTGCATCTTTGTCAGCTCCAGCCTCGAGCAACAATCGTGCCACTTCCAAGTGGCCGTTCTCAGCTGCAATAGACAAACCTGGCCCATTCGGGTCAAGTGGGCTTTGAAGCAGCTTTTCAATTTGAGCTGCGCAGTTCTCGGCGCAGCTGCTAAGTAGTTCTTCCATGTTCTTCCTGCCTATCCCAATCAGGGACGCACAATGGCAGAACTACGAGCTGTACTCTTGATAGTGGTCGTAGAGGCAAGTCATCCTCCAATTCGCCCAGTTCGTCACTGAAGAGTCGTTGCTGAAACCTTGAGCACCCAAGCTGACCTGAAAGGAGCCGCTTGAGGTCCCGAACCACTTTCCCACTGTCCGTCATGCAACGCAGCTCATCCTCTTGAAGCTGAGCAACGTTTCTGCCAGACACGGCCGTAACCTGCATCGCTGAGATCTCAGAAGCTGAAGGCGTGGCTGGAGCCATTGTCAAAATCAAGACGAACACAAACGGAACAATAATCAAGAAGCTAATACCTAACCGTGTTTGCACGTGAATTGATTTCCCTCCCTCTACACCACAACTGCAACACTGCTAGACGAACAAAGGTCATGCTCACTAGTAGTGGGTCATTGATCGTCGTCCTCCCTTAGTGGAGGCCCTCCACAAGCTGAACGATCAACAATCAACAAACCCTAGGGCTCCTGTTGCACCTTCTGACAAGGTGGGACTGGGGTGGGTGCCAGGAGGGTCCAGCCATACCTTCTGAGGAGGTATTTGGAGCCCTAGGAAAATGCATAAAACAAAACTAAATTACATATATAAATTCATGATGGAAAACAAAGCGATGGAAGGACGCAGTCATCGCGAGTATAGTCAGAACATGTATCAAACTCCTTCTTGATCAAAGATTCTCATCGTTGGGAGTCCGCAAATGCCTTGAGAGAGTAGGTCCCAAGAAGAAGCACAACACCCATGAGTTTTCAGAATCTCAACAGACTGGCCCTCGGCAAATTTGAATAACTGACTCTCCTTCAAAACGGACTGCTTTCATATGATCCAGCTAGTACTAGTATGGAACCAGGGGGGCCCTCCGTTCAGCATTTTTGCGCAAAACCCGGAGGTTGGTTGAAAGAGATCCACTTCCATGAATATTGCGTGAAGGATTTGCGTGGTTTGCAAGCTTTAGATGAGCTTGATGGCCAAGCCGGGAGACACCCCAAAACGGCTCATCAAACACTGTGTGCACTGTGCGTTTTGGGCACCTTGCGCAGGCTGGGCTGCCTCTCCAAGGTTGGGACCTTACCTGCTTGCCTTGGTGCCGAGGGCGCGAGCGACGTGCGGCCATGCACCCTGCGGCACCTTTCGAACATCAAACCATGGTGACATCCTGAACGTGGAGGAGTCTGTTCATGTTCGGTGGTCGGTCAACCAGGGTTCCTGGGTTTTGACCCACAGCTAGATCTGTGTGACTGGTTCGAAGACATGCGAAAACCATGTTCGTCTGGTCTGTGCTTTTCCCGATGTGGAATGAGGAAGCGGATTCCAAACAAAAATGGGTTGACCGCTGAACATGCACAGATTCCTCAAAAACGAGATGTGAACCCGCCAGGGTTGGGGCTCCGGGTTGGAAAACCACACCCATCTCTGGAGATGGGTGTGTAGTTTGCCTGACCCTGTTTGCACCGGTATCAATGTGAACTCCAATCCAAAACATGTTGGGAGGAAAACCACTGCATGAGCATACCCACCATCTTCATTTCATATCTTGTTGGGATGCGTGACCTAGATGCACCCAAACTTGCAACCCACTTTTACCTAGCTTTTGGGCTGAATGTAGGGTGAATTGGATGGATCAGAACCGAACCCTGTAAACCAATCAGGGAACTCAGTGCAAAAAACATCGAATGAGCCAATCTGTTTCACATTGCCTGACTCGCTCTGGTTTCAGAAAGTCCGTCCGTCCGTGAACTCCTCCCAATGGCGCCACCTCTGACTTGAGCGATTTTCACGACTAAACCTCCAAGTGAACTTCCAAGAGATAGCCAGTGACCGGAAAAAAAAAAGGGCCCGGTAACCCCGCCAACTGGGCTGTCCAAACCGAGCTGTCCACTCCGTTGCACCAAGAACCGTCTCCGGATCGAGACCGTCGAGCTCCCGGCTCCGAGGCGCAAATTGGTCTTCAAGCGCACCAGCGGATACGTCAAGACTGTGGCCACCGCCTTGGCAATGGCTCCAAGGGTGAACGCCTGGAGATGGCCGCTTGAAAAAGGGGAGGGATTGGAGGACAAATGGGAATGACGGGGGAAAGACCTGCACATCTGCACATGCACCAGCAAAGTGAAAAACCGCTCCTGTGAACCTTTTGAAAGGAAATTTAGCTCCAGCCGCAGAACCAGGTGTGGCTGCTTTCATATTGAAACAGGTAACAGGATCTCAAACTTTCCTGGAGATTTACATAGATTTACAGGGTGTTCAGGGAAAACTGTTGAACTACAATAAAGAATAACAGCCTGACCGGCGACCCTGGTCACCGAAGAAAAAAACACGTGCTCCGAAAGAAGCCACCGGGTCAGGTGAAGACCCAACCAAAACAATCACCCGTACATTCGACCAGGCATCGGAAAAAAATGCAAATCCCAAAGATGTGCGGGGGCATTCTGAGGATGAGCAGTGCCAGTTAAACAAAGCAGGGTTGCAATTAAGCTATAGATCATGTCAAATCCCTATGAGGGGGCCAACCTGATCTCTGTTTTCATTTATTTGATGTGAGAACTTGGGTCGCCCAGCGTCATGAAGGAAGGTTCTGACAAACCAAGACAAAAAGAACACAAGCAAAAGGACCTGCGTGGAGACCACCTTTTTTGCCCCGCTTGGAAGATTCAGAACACCGACCACATTGGGCCAGGGGGGGGTTCTTCCCGGAAAGGCAAAGCACACCTACACCCAAAAATAACACCCCATGGCACTGTCATCTTTACTTCCCGACCTTCCCGACAGAATTCGCTCTACGAACGCCAACTACCATGGTTACGTGGAATTGGTTGCGGCTCTGGGAAGACGATGGGCTCTGGGAAGACGATGTTTCTTTACAAACAGGTTGTTGTTGTTTTTTGCTTTCCACTGTTCATGTGAGTTTTGAAGAGTGTACTCCCCCTAGAACTAACATGGTTACGTGGAAAAGCACCTCAGCTGAAAAAAGATCCCGTTGAAAAATCTTTCTCCTAGCTTCAAATCACAGCAATTCCAAGCGGTGGCTTTCATGTAGACGACATCTGCTCATGTATATGGTTGTATGTTGCGCGTGCCGCTTTCATAGCTGCAGTCTGACTTACAGGTCGAACGGTTCCAAATGTGAAGCTGAAAGTAGCAGTCCTCTTATAAGCAACTTGCAGCAAGTTGTCAAGATATGATAGATGATTTTCCTACCGTTCTTCTCTGTGCATACAAAACCCCCCACCCCAGCTGCCCTTCTCGTCTTTTCACTCACTCTCATCACCCCAGCGCAACGTCGTGCAGGCAATCCGCTTGTGTGTATGTCTCTCGTGTATTGAGTAGTAGCCCTGGTAAGCAGTTGGCCAAGTGGTCAAAGTTGCAAAGCGGTCTAGCCCGCATCTAGCGCGGGTCTAGCGCGCTCCCCTGCCAGTGCGTCAGGCCACCAACCGGCTGTCATCAAAAGCACGCGTTGCGGTCTGCCGGCTTTCCTATAGCTTTGAAATCGTTATACAATAGCTCTTCCACGCACAAAGAATCCGAAACACAATGGGAGCATGCCCGCAGTGGATGGGTGTCGGTGGCCCCTGCTTACATAAGCCAATCACAACAAAACGGCCGGGTTGTCCGTTCATAACAAGTTTAATTGCCAATGTGTGTATGTGTTGTTTGTTAATCTTACCTATAAGTATTTGAACCTAGCGCCAGACCTAGCGCAGCACGACAAGCTATTTCTGAACCTCTGGGAACCTTCATTACTTAATACATATTACCGGCTACCGGGTTTATTTTTTCAACTCACCTGTTTGTAGTGGAGTTCATGGTCTTCCAAGGTCATGACATCAACTTCCATGTTAGTTTCTAAGAGCGTATATTAGGAGGTCATAGGAGTATGTAGGAGTCATCTTCCCGTCCAACAGCTCGTGAGACCGGGCATGGTCAGCTGCTGTCAGCTGTCCGAGGGAAAAAGAGGGGGCCCTTCCATCAACCACCGGCCGGACGGGGGCCTGACCTGCCATCGAACCTCTGAAATCACACTGCTTGGAATTGCTTAAGAAACCCAAGCACAAAAATCAGATATCACTCTGGCATGGGCAAATGAATCCAGTTCGGGCAAATGAATACACCCTAGGGCTCCAACCACCTCCGTTTCGAAGATGGTTGGTGTGGGTGCCAGGGGGGTCTAACCACCGAACCTGAGTCACCTGATCCGCAACAGTGAGGACTGTAAAAGTCCACATGTCTCGTGACCGCAAGGCCTGGAACGCCGTCAAGGCGGGCGCCACCTGAGGCGGCACAGTCGCACCGAGACGTCTGACATGGCGATGGGACGGTGGAGTGCCCAATGAGTTTTGGGGCTAAGGGGTGCCCAATGGACACCCGGATGCGCCTAGTATATATATTAAGGACAAATATATGTCTTATATGTGTTGTACAACGATATGCGCATGGTTTGGAAAAAAGAACATGAATATATATTAAAACTATCATAGAATATTCTATACCAGAATGATTGAAAAACCAGGAATTTCAAGGAGCTCGTGCGTAGACATAAAAAGAACACCTGATTAAGTAGTTACCAGGATCTATCTCAAGGAGGTCTCCTTAGGTGAGACCTGTCTGTCTCTCTTAGTGGGTTCCGGACTGAACCACTTCCACTTCTGAGTTTTGCTGGTTGTATCTGATAACCTGATACGCACCGCAGAGTGCGAACACATATCTCAAGAGCCGAATTCACTTGTCCAGCAAACTGTATCTGCTTTTGGGACTTTGGGGGTTGATATTGGAGACAAAAGAAGCAAACAACACTGACATCTGCACATTCTAGACGGCGATGGTTATTGTTCAATCAGAGCTCATTTGGAACAAATGATGTTGGTGTACCACCGTGGCTCAGCTGACGAGGCAGCAGTGAGCAAGGCCAAATAAACATCATTTAAAAACATGTGTTCTGGGATTGATTTCGGAATTTCCTTCACCAGTAGTGCAATTAGACCTCACTAACGTTTCCCCCAGCTCAACCGTATAGTAACTACTATACCCTATAGGATCCCTAGAGCTCCTGTCCCAACTCCTCAGCTGGTCTTCGACCCCCCTGGCACCCACCCCTGTCCCATCGAACCGAAACGGAGGTGGGCCACGAGCCCTAGGGATAGTACCTGCGTGTCAAAGGCAAAAGAATTGGTTTGGGAGCCTGGCATGTGCACAAAGCGAGAGAGAGAGAGAGAGAGACTATACCAGCAGTCACGTTCTACGGGGTGCGATCCATGGAGGACGTCGGGTTGCCCCTGTCACATCCACTCACTGGATGGGACTCAAAAAAGCACCCCGTCCTGTGACTCCTGGGAGTTGCATGTTGTGACTCCTGGGATTCGGTACCTGGATGACCACCTCCCCGCACCGATCCTGACCGGTCGGTGGTCGCCTGGGGGTTCTTGCGCTGCATGTGCTTCAGGATCCCCTCTTTGAGCTTGTCCTGGGGCGAAAGCCGCCGGAGACGAGGCCGGAGCGATGCCGCTCCGTTCTTTTAAAGGCTGGTGACAAGAACACTGCGCTTGGATCAGTGGGCAGATCAGTGGCTCAGAAAGGGGGGGTTTGCGTTACATCCACATGACTTCAATCTCCCCACGTGAAGGGTCCCACATGACATTGACCCTGAATTGGTTCATCTTCAGCGCAGTGCAGTCTTGTGGGCGTATATGCCGAGACCTAGTCGAGGTGGTAAATGGAAGTTCTTTACCCTCAAAATGGGGTGACTCAAGAACATCCCATGGCACTTCTGTGTCCACTAGAATCTGCAAAGTCTTCTATGTAAGAACTAAAGGAACTATATATCGAAAAATCAGTGATGATCGGTGGCACTACAGTACCCAAACACTCCATGGGACTGCCATATATGCTGCCCCATTGACCCCCAAAACTTACCACCCCTGGCCTGATCGGCAGTCCTATGGCAGTCCCAGACAGGTCGTGTCTGGGGTAGAATCCGCAAACGTCTTCTAAGAACTGGTTCCCTACATGGAGGGATCCATGGAGTTCCCTAATACAGATTCACACCCGCCCTACCAATGGTATGAGAGGGGCCAGCCGTCTGGGTGATCCAGAACACTACAGCAACCGAACAGTTAGTCGACAAATCAAAGGGGGCCAGCAAACACAAAGGGGTGCGATCCATGGAGGGGTGCCCATTCTCCGAAAACGAGCCACACCACCGTGGGCCTCCCAACGTGACTCCGACGGGGTGAAGACTGGACGACGTTCCACGACACCGGGGGATGTTGGACCGGCAGCGACGAAGACGGCGGGTGTGAAGACTCATGTTTGCCAAGAGAGGTCAAGTGACCTTATAGGACCCTACTGGGGTACCTATGGGATAGCCTATAGGGTCCTTCAACCTCTGTTGGTGCTTGGCAGCGACTCTTGTAGAAAACGCAGGTTCGATTTCGGCCTCTGAAGGGGAAGAACATGCAGAAGGCCGAAGGCGGAAAACCCACTCTCTACATCTGCTGAGTGGTTACAATACAAAGCCATATAACCATGTATTGTATGCTTTGGGTCTATCCTATTAACTGTAACAGTGGATGATGATGGTTAGTAAAGGCCTTTCTCTGCAATGGTGACAGTTACAGCTAATAGGACAGACCCTATATGTGCTTATCATAATTACATTGGAAACGATTGAATCCTTGAGGTCAAGTGGAGACACAAAAAACAGCCAAGAACACCATTCCCGGGCGCTGCAGTGGCAAGGCACCAGGATGGTGTTTTGAATGGCCGGATTGATGCAAAGCGCCTCGGCGATGAAGGACATGCAAAGGTGTCCCTATTTATCTTTTGCCCAAACGCTCCTGGAACCTCATATGCAGGGATTGCACTGTCATATGGAGGGGTCTGGACCCTCAAATCCCTATGGTTTTGAGGGACCACGGGCTGTTTGGAGCGTCTGGGTGATGTTGGGATGGGTTTCACTGACCAACAATCAGCTTACAAGTAAGCCGCAAGCGCTTGGTGAGCCCTAAGCTTCCCACGCACAAAGCTCAGTCCTGCTGGAATTGAGTTTGCAACTAATGCCATATATATAATACACAGTATGAGGTCACTGTGAGCATTGAATTGTACAGTATTCGTTTAGTAATATAATAATTGCTGAGCTTCATGCTCGCCTACTGTGTGCTTTCATGTGCCTTGCTTTGCCTTTCCCTTTCATTTCCATTCTTTTCTCAAATCTCTGTGGAATCGAACTTGCCGCTGTCCAAAGACCAACGTCACCCAACTTTATACTGGGAAACCGGAACTGAGCGCAGCTGCAATCACTAAGTCCCCAGGCGATGTTATAGCCCAAACCAGTGTACAAAGTGCCGACTCCTGGACAAGCAAACGAGGCGCGCGCAGCATGCAGATACTCCTCAAATGCGTGGAGGGCACATGAGTCGCATCAAATCTGCTTGCTGCTCTCCCACTTGGATTGGCTCAAGGAACCTTGGAGAAAATTAATAACGTATTCACCAACAGGGGATTTAACCATAGGGAAAATAACACATCGCCTTAAGCAAAACCAGGTCATTATGAAACCTCTACAACTTGCGTAGAAAGCCAAACAAAATACATGAAACCACGTGCCCAAGAGCTTCCTGTACCGTTTCCTGAACGCCCCCCTCGTGTTGGAGCTATACCAAGCCCGGCGTGGCCCAACTCAAACAACACCAAGGCCCAAGGGGGTTTATCCGGGTGGCACGTACTCCCCACAAGCCGGCAACTGCAGAGTTCTGGACCAGTCTCTTCGAGGTCTTCGTCTTCGATCGTGCGTAGATGCACACAGATTCAACTGTTGTGTTTTTTTTGTTGGGGGCACTTGACACCAGTTAGGGGGTTCTCCTTTGTGCCATGTCATTTTTAGCCCCAGCGGATCCATGGGGCTATATTGACCTTATGAACACGAAAGCCACCCAAAAACACCAGTCCCTCAAAATCCAGTGGGGCAGTAAATGTGGCCCTACATTCACCGCCAAAAGCCACCTAATGTTGGCCATATTTGCTGACACGGATCGTTTGGGAGTCGTATATAGACCATCATAGTTCGCTTCCATGCACACTTTGTTCACAACGCAGAAACGCGCTTTCAGGACTGCAAGTGAACCCATGCGTAGTATATAATAGTATATATAGGGGTCTAGTCTACATTCCGACTCCTCAGTGTCGAAAAATAAAGCTTATACCAAACTGTCCACCTGTTCTTGCTTGCTTCCGATACAAGCTCTTCTTCCGAAATGTTTTCAGCGTAGACGACGGACACCACACATGACCACGAGACTCCGGTCTCATGCTTGAATTCCATCTTCCGCTTCTCTGGATCCTTAGCCAGACTTGTCAAAGGCCTATATAAGGTCTTTGGCCTTCCCCGGACATATAATATACCCAGACGCTCCTGGAACCTCATATGCAGGGGTTGCACCCTCATATGGAGGGGTCTGGACCCTCAAATCCCTATGGTTTTGAGGGACCAAGGGCTGTTTGGAGCGTCTGGGTATGCCATATATGCCTACATTGACCCCTCAAACCACCCCAATGTAACGTAGATAAATCTGACATACATGGACCATCGAGTGATCTCATACGAATCCAAGAAGTATCTTGCGGCACTGTTGACCTGACAGTCATTGTTGAGCGTTCGAAGGTTTTCGCATGAACCTCGGCCTACTTGGAGAACTAGTCATCAGCCTTGAAAGGTCTTTTTCTTGCAGAAAGCGGTTCTCCCTCGGGTGCGTCTGTCTTCTGGAAGATGTTTGGTATATATCAAAATCTTCACCGGCAAGCCGCCAAATCTAAGCCGTTCGTTCTGAGTGTCCTGCAATCGAAATCGGCCCTCTTGCATTCTTTGAACCTTTCTTCATGTTGGGGCTCTCTTTATTCGCTGCCAGCCCTACATCACCACCGCATCTCCCCTCACAAACTTGTCAATTCAAAAGCAATGTGGGCTGCCTGGAATAAAATACTCCCATACAAGTCTTTGGCCTACACCACCCCAACTTCAACATGACTCATCTTGATTGCACCGCGGATCTCTCTCATCAGGCCTTAATTTAAAAAAAAACATGAAAAAACAATTGAAAAGAACACCCTTGAAACCTTGCAGCTTCATCCCCCGTCCTTCCCTGGAGAAACCGACCCAAACCCGCTCCGGCTCAGCGCGCGCGCGCTCAGCGCCCGCCCGGGTCCTTCGTGGCGCACGATCCGCCGCAGCATCCCAAAGGTCGAGATCCCCTGGCGACCGCGGAGACCGACCGCCGAGGCCTCGCTCCCTCCGCGCGCGGCGGGCGAACAGGGCACTGGGTGCGCACCAGCGCTCCCGGCGCTCCGAGGAGTGCCACCCTCACAAAGCTCCGGGGGTGCCGGGTCACGAATGGAAGGAGGTGCTCGGTGCCCCAGATGCTCCACATAGGAGGTGCTCGCTGGATGGGAGGAGGCAAGCCACCCAGACATGTCTTGTCATATTGGTCTTGACGAGGTTTTGCCTGTTTGGCTTCTGATCACCTGTCCCCGAAAGATAAGACTCAATGGAATTATGGTGAATTATGGTGGACATGGATTTCAAGCGACCATGAAGCCAAAAAAATAGACCACCAGTTCTGAGACAAACTCCCTAGCTGCACAAAGGCTTCTTTCAGTCCAACATGGACATGGACGGACACGACTCTATCTCCCTCAGTCTCCGCGGAAAATCAGGCAATATAACCCGTTACAATGGAGAAACCATGAGAAACCAATCCCCCAAAACTGTTCTGAAGTTATATCCACTCCACTGAATGGGGATTGACTATCGGATCTTTTTTTTCCATCGCTCTGCTCAGAATTCTCTCGCCACCGCCCACCCTAGTGGAATCAGGGGGAGACCTTGGCATCATCGAGCTGCATCTTTGTTGAGATCACCTCCAAGGGCATGTTCATCAAGGTATTGCCTGGCCAGGCCAAGGCCCGTCGACTGGAGGGACTCCTTCGTTCGGTCGACTGGAAGGACTTGACCTGATGATTTTAAGGACCATCAAACACTTGATGATGATGATGATTATGATGATTATGAGGATGAGGAGGATGAGGAGGAGGATGAGGATGAGGATGAGGATGAGGATGATGGTGATGGTGATGGTGACGGTGACGGTGACGGTGACGGTGACGGTGAGGAGGAGGAGGAGGAGGAGGAGGGGGAGGGAGGAGGAGGAGGAGGGAGGATCCATCCGGCTCAACAACACTTGTGCCAGAAAAACATCACGCCGTGCTATATGGGCTGCTTAAGGCTGACCGCCCTGCGATCGGCCTGCTCTCTCCGTTCCGGACGTTCCTCGGACTTGACGCGGTGCCTGCGGCGCCTCTTCTTGGACACTTCTGGCCCAAACACTCCCTGGGACTGGTATAGTGACTGTCAGTGTGCAATTAGCTCCTTAGAGGTTGAGGGATGCCCATTAACCACCCCTTATATCGGGAGCCCAGGTCTACGCCGCCCCAAACAGGCCCCTTCTTGAGCCACGGTCCCGATGGAGGTTTTTGGGTCCCATGGAGTGTCTGGGTGGCGCGGTCGGATCCAAGCTTGGTGGTTCAGCTCTTGATCACTAAAATGTTCGGGAGTAAACGCTGGAAATATCATGAAAGTGGAGTTCACTACCTGATTGTAGAGGAACATGGTCTTACACGGGCCCGGCCCCATGCAACCATGATGTCTTTCCATGGAGTGTAGGTTGTTCTTCTTTGAGCGTGTAGCCATTCATGCACAGTCAGGTTGCGCCACAACACAAAGCCCTAGCGTCAGAGCACGGCAAATCAGCCCCTTCTGAAGGTCAAATGGGATGAGACCCTTCTGAAGTTGGGATCAAATTGTCCAAAACAACATGTACGCTCAGGGCCCAGGACCATCCTGAGGATCTCCTTTGGCGCCAATTCGACCATTCTCTGGAAGACATTTCACCTCCAAGATCATCCTCAGGAGGTTCCTGCACCCTCTGGGATACTCTCCCCATCACAAAGAAGACACCCTCCTGTTTGCTGGATCTCATGGAGCGTTCTCCACGTTGGCCCTATGAGGACATTGGAGCCACGGCACCCACACCAGCCACGTAGCCCAAGATGAGTTTCACCTTGGTGCCGCGCTCTGAGTCGTCGTCATCGGGCGTCGCACGTGGTGCCCGGAAGCCGACCCCGGTGACCGAAAGAATGAGCGGAACATTACGGCCCCACAACTGGGCCCAACTGGGTCAATGCTATGTGATTGATGTGACCCAATATCATGCTTTTTCATGGGCCAAATTTTGATGTATAGCTGACCATAGCTTACCAAATCAAACTCTTGAACCCCCCTAGCTCATCAAATCAAACTCTTGAACCCCCCTAGCTCACCCGATCTCCCCGATGTCGACAGGCAAGGAGCCAGGGTCGTCACTTCCATTTGTCTCTTTGCGAGGGCGTTCATGCCATCATAGATGTAGAAATACCTGGCGTGAGGCAAAGGATCTTTTCTTCTTCCAAGGGCCCACGCATCACGCTTCCATGTGCGTTTTTGGCACTTACGAGTAGAACCTCATGTTTGACCAAAGCTCATGCTTGCTGCAGCCAGGGCACGCAAAGTTTTTGGCTCCATTCCTCAGCAGCCGAGTAGGGTGAAACGATGTGAGACTGGGCTTCCTCGCTCAAGAGACCCATGAAAACATTTAACCCAGGAAGGGGATTTCCACCCAACTAAACCTCACCCGAAACACAAAACCTGGGTTATATACCCTAGGGCTCCTGTCCCATATCCTCAGGTTCGGTGGTTAGACCCCCTGGCACCCACCCCAACCATCTTCTCAGGTGGTTGGAGCCCTAGGGGTATCTCATGTGAACTCCATCCACAAACCACTGTCTTCATCCAAGACTCTCCGCACACTTCCCCCAAGCCCCGAGCCAAAGCCCCAAGAAACCATCAGCCGCAGCGATCTTCCTGGCGCAGTTCAGGTGCTTTAAACAAGGAAAACTAAGTAGAATCATATATGTACCGTACATGTGTTTATTCTTGTTTCAACAAAGGTGAACTCATTAGAGTTCAGGTGCAGCTTGATCAAACACCATTTGTTGGCCTTCTCACAAAAGTGTTCAGCGTCCTACTTCCTCAACTGCAAAATGCAACACCTGCTAGAAATTGCTAGGGCAAACCCCACATCCTGAGCACACTGAGATCTGCAGCCTTTTCGGAAACTCCTTAGCCTTTTTCTTCATGGACTACGCCTTGGGTTGAAGCTTGGACTTGCTGGTTAGCGGAACCCGGTTAAACGATACAATGGACAACATCTTTCCAGGTTAGGCGGATTCACCACCCCCAAAACACCAACCGAAACATACCGAAGCATCATTGATCCGCACAACACAAGCTGCAAAAACGTTGCCCCTGCCAGCTCGCGCTCGCGACCTGGGCTGGTCGTTTGTTGGGGCCCGTCCTCGTACGTCCCCTCGTGCCATGCGGACGAACGAGACGAACGGACGAACGGACCGCTCCTGAGGGTTTGCAAGGTGCTGTCATCTCCTGCGAGTTGCGAGGGGTCCCAGTGACCTGATATGACCCGAACTTACTAGGGGACCGGTTCCTGGGATCATCGCACACAGGGTTCTTCAACCTCTGCTGGTTTGTGGACTGTGACCACACCGAAAGTGGAGTGGAGTGGTTTTCTTCGGGGTTTCTTCCGCGCAAAGGCCAACGTGATGGTGCTGCTCTCTGATGAGCAGTTAGGTCAAGAATACACGTGCAGGGCATGCAGCAGTGGCAAACTGGGACGGCACCTCTACAAATAGTGAGGTTGATCTATTCTATTTTGAAAAGCGAGATGCGTGAACACATACCCTCGAGGTAGGGTATGATGATCCAAAGTGACTGCGTACCCAAAGCACTACTGGCGTTATAGAAGTTCAAGGTGTCAACAAGTCATCTTGTGAGACCAAGCACATCCTTGTTCATTCCAAAAATGCCCTTCTGTATCCTTCTGTCTGAAGACGTGCCTCCGCAGCTGGTGAATTCTACCAAGCTCCTCTACAAACAGGTGATGTTTCACTTGTGTTTCAGGGGGTGTACCCAGGGATGGCCAAATCTCGAAATCTCTCCTCCAGTGCTGATCTGAATCCGGGTCTTAGCCACCTGAGGCCGTGGGAAGAGCGCATGAAATTGGACGCTTTCTCTGAGGGTGAAGGAGTGGGGTGAATCCTCTTGTGAGATCTGGCTATGTGGGGAATCGAAATACTTTATCTCCCGATGCCAATGAGTTGGAGACTTAACCTGGAATCATCATGGATGTGGAGTGAAAACCACCTGTTTGGTCTTCGGATTTCATGGATGCATTCATGGTCATCCGACTGGTCATCCATCCACTTCAACTTCCTTTTTCCACGAAAAAGTAACGCGTGGATCAAACGCGTCATCCCAAGCTCCCAGGGACCGATGGATGATGATGGTGCGGTTCTAAAGGCCTTATTTAAACCCTAGGGCTCCTGGCCCACCTCCGTTTCAAATACGGTTGGGGTGGTGCCAGGGGGGGTCTAACCACCGAACCTGAGGACATAATTGGAGCCCTATAGGGAAAAATCGTCATGTTCTTGTGAAACCTTGATTACAGGTGTTCGAGAAGGACAGACCCAACCCACATTATATGGGGATGAGATCCAAACCTGGAGGCTCCGTTTCACCTCCCGTGACAGGGACCTATCGTGGCTGGTAAGGGCCTACCGGTCGGTGTCATGCCCAAACACGACTAATGGGACTGACATATAACCTACATTGACCCCCCTGAATAAGTAAATCCCTATAGGGCTCCTGTCCCATATCCTCAGGTTCGGTGGTTAGACCCCCTGGCACCCACCCCAACCATCTTCGAAACGGAGGTGGGCCAGGAGCCCTAGGGAATATGCCAGTCCCATGGAGTGTCTGGGACGCAAATGGCCAACGGGTCACATATGGTCACATTGACTACAAGAATTGACGCAAATTGACGACACCAGCATGGTGTGATCCTAGATCTCCTGCTGCAAAGAAAACTGTGGATGCTTCGTTGCATCATCTTGAACAGCAGCATTTGGACGAGCAACATCATAAGCGAATTCAAATGCAATCAAACCCTAAACCCTAAATCGCAACCCGTGCGCCATCTTTCATCTGAAGTTAACATGTTATGGCGCATCCCCTGTTAGCATCCGTGCCACCACCATGGTTGCGGGAAGCCCTGGTGGCCCTCCACTCCACCACCCTCCACGACAAGAGACGAGGAGTCTGCAGAAAAGGCTGCTTTTCGGCGCAGGTTTCCGCATCAGATCCACCAGCAACATCTTACCCTAGGGATCCAGCCGTGCCTTCTCACAAGGTACTTGGACCCTCCAAAACGACATAACAGTGTCTCCAATCACCTTCTGACAAGGTACTTGGATCCCCAGGGTTACGGTAAATCTTACAACATGATACTTCCGAATTGCGTTGATCGTCCTTTCTCCCGATCCGTTGGTTTCAGTCCCCCTTCTAACTCACCTCTCTCTCTCTCTCTCTCTTTTGTGAGTTTGCCCAAGAAATCACGATGCTTTCGGACTTGTCAGGCATTCTTCAAAAGAGGTGGGTGAGAAACCCTAGTTCGACTATCCCAGGAACCGGTACCCAGGTTACGGCCCGCCCGTTCTCACTTGCCTCGCCTCCACAGGCTGCAAGGCCATCGAGGCCACCACGGCCCCTGCGGCGCCGGCGCTCGCCTGCACGGAGAAAGGGACGTGATGAAAAAGGAGGTCAGAGTCATACCCAAACGCTCCATGTCTGTCATATTATTACTTAAATTACAGTATATATATATATTAGTTATATATGTTTGATTTGCTACCATGCGGCGGTTTCCACAAGAACATGGTTCCCCCAAAATCCCCTTAGATTCGGCCAGGGGCCAAAACATGTGTCAGAACAGTGTGAGACACATGAGGAGTAACACCTCATCAACATGGATCAGGAATGAGAAAACGCTATAGGCGCCAACAGTTGGACGTCAACTGTAGATGGTTGGAGACGAAATGGCTTGGACGTCCAAAGGCCAAAACTGCGTGCACGGCTACGAGCCCACATGCACGGAGGTCGTGGCGGCCCCGAGGGGTGAAGGAACCAACCCGAACCAAGCAACAAGGAAGCCAAACCCAAACCCCAAAAAGCAGCCCACAAGGAAAGGCACCGGACCGGCCAAGTACGGGGGCGCTCACGCCAAACGTCTCAGAACAGCACGCGCGTTCTCCAGCTGCAGCGCCACGCCCGAAGACTGGATAAGACGCTCAGTTTCCACAGCGGCGCTTTGTCCAGTGCGAACAACACACGCCACAGCCAGCTCTTTCCATGTCTTCATGGTGGTTCGGGCCCAGCCCGCAAACTTTCGGCGCCACCAGAGGAAAGGCATCAGCCAGCAACCATATAGCCAACAGCCTCACAGACGGACCTGTTTGCATTCTCAGGGCTGGACGCAAAGATTGTTCCGACTCTCTTACCAAGATCGCATATATGAAAGTCATCTATCTGTTCAGTGAGCTTGACCCCGTGTTTGAACACTGAGGAGTACTTTCCCGGAGGGTGGTTCCTAAGCTGGGCTAAGTCTAAGTTCAAGTTATAGGTACTTATAAGTACTTAGCTTCGACTTAGCTGAGGTAGACTTAGCGTTGACTTAGCTTTGACTTAGCTTTGTCACAATTTTCATGACAGATTCTATGCCATAAAGTAAATGTCATACATAAAACTGTCATAATGATTGTGACATCGTGAGTAGATACAATAAATAAGTTCAAAACATTTCTTTTTCAATTACTATTCATGATCAACAAATAGGGTAAATACTTTTCAATATACCTATATATATATACATTATACAGTTGTTTACGGCGTAGCCGTTTCTTTTCTGAATTGTTTGTGTTCGGCTTTGCCGAATATATCTACTTTTGGTTTAATATGAGTTATTAGATTTTTCTGCAGGACTTGGCAGCCGAGCGCCACTGCCACATGTTGGCAACAATTACGGCCAAGCCGCATTCTTGAAAAAACGCAGAAATGTCAAACAATGCATCAATAACAAATTACGGCAAAACCGCATGTAGGAAACACATAGATTTCTATCAAGCATTTTCAAAAAATAGCTTGGACTTGGCTTGGACTTAGCTTTGACTTGCAACATACCTATAAGTGAAAGCTAAGTCCAAGTCACGCTTAGCTGACTTAGCTTTGACTTAGCTAACTCACAACTAAGTATATATATACTTAGTAAATACTATTGTCTCAATTAAATCAATGCTAAGCCGAAGCTAACCTTTATAGAGGTTAGCAGACTTATAACCTAGGTTATAACTAGGTTAGGTGTACTTATAGGCTAACCACCCTCCGGGTAAGTAGATGACCCCCTTCGACGAGACAAAGATCTGGTTGAAGAGGAACAATATTGACAACTTAAGACAGACCCGTAGGGCTCCAACTATATCCTCAGGTTCGGTGGTTCGACCCCCCTGACACCTACCCCTGTCCCACCGAACCGAAACGGAGGTGGGCCAGGAGCCCGACAATCGTCGTGATGCTCCCGACCCTTCGACGTTTCCCGACCCCCAGATTTCAGCAGAATACGCCGACCGCTCTTGTGGCTTGTTTTCAAGTCCAGCAGCAGGACAGTGTGCTGGTGGTGTTGTTGACACTGCCCCAACGAAATGGTCTCCTTTCCAAGCGTGGTGACTGTCAACATGCTTCACGGCGAAAGCAAAACTTCAACACATGTCGATCCTCCCCAGGTGAGCTTCTTAATCAGTTCCAAGCATGGGAGCCCCAATACTATGAGAGTGAAGATTGGCTTGATCTTCGCTTTGAGTTCGTGTCTGCCGTGGACTGGATCAAACGCCTTGTCGGTGTTGCCATTCCATACTTCCTGCTGTTCTTCTTTGCGTCACGCTCTTAGGTCTGGAAGCGTCACGTGAAAGTCTTCGTAAAAACATGTAAAAACATAGTGACTCCCCAGGTGGATCAAGACTCAGTGGTCTTCTACCCTTGGACTTCTTACATCCAGAGAAGTGGGTTGAAGATTGAAAAATTCCATGGCTCGATTGAAGAAATCTTTCGAGAATCAATCTTCAGCCCAGGGCTGGGTTGAAGAATTTTTTCCAGAATCTGCAATCTTCAATCCAGGGCCGGGTTGAACAAGTTCAACTCAATTTTATATACAGTACTGTTTGAAGCCCCAACCACCACCGTAGTACTTAGAGCACTTTCCTCGCACAAACCTTGCAAGGCCTTGCACGGCTCAACGATTTCTGGCCAGTAGTCCTGTGAAATGTTCAACCTTCATTTTTTCAATTCAGGGATCTGAATGGAAGATGTCTCGCCAAGAGTCCTGTGACATCTTCAACCTTCAATCTTCAATCCATGGGTTCAAGACTTTTGTGAAGCCTGGAACTGGGAAGGATGTCACACCATGAGTGTGGGATCTCAAGTAGAGGAAAATCACAGGCATTGTGGCTCAGGCCTTCACGCCGGCATGCCTGTCACTCCCCTCTTGGGGAGTGCGAACTGAGCCATGACATTATCCACGTCCATATGCCCCAGCCATGAGATGATCATAACGAAGACCAAACTTGGAATGTGTTCGACTCATTTAGTGATGACACCCGCCCACCCGCCAAGTTTCCAGAAGTCTGTCAAGGACATGCGTGAGGCATGCTTCTTCGAGGAAACGCCGCAAACGGCGGATGTAGCAGAGGGAAAACAATACATTATTCTATGTTTTTGAGTTCTTGGAGTCAAGATGGTGTAGTCGCTGTTTTTTTTGGTTTCTTCTCTTGGAGTTCCTTTTTGCTTTGTCGAGTTTTTCGACTTGGAATTGACCCACTCGACTCTCAAAGCGTCTACGGAGGTTCCCAACTTGGGTTTTTACCCAAAATTGCGCTCTGAATGTCGTGCTTGATGGCGAATTGTTTGAAGATTGGTGACTGTTGAAGTCCCATGTGGCCAAAAGGCACTTACATATCGACATCGGCCTGAGCCAATGACTTGTGCGTTTGATATGTCATGTTTTGTCATAGCGGAAAGCGCGGTGGCGAGTGAGTTGATGATCTTGCCTTCTCGTCCTTTTCCTTCGCTGCATACGACCAAGTCGCTGCGCGACGCTGAGGTGTACAGACTCTCTCTGCGCAAGCTTCCCATGGTGGGTGTCTGGTAGCAGTTCATTTAGTCTTGCATGGGTAGGATCTCACTTACCTATTCCGGCTTGATCCACAATGGATGTTGCTCTTCTCTCACCTTGTCTGTTTCCACACTTGGGTTCCAAACCTTGTACGTGTGATGATGTAGATCTGCCATCCTACCTACCGATCCAAGGGGGGTTCCACAGAGCGGGTTTTGGTCCGTTGCGATGTGGCACTAGAGGAAGCCTCGCCTTCCCAAAGGATCCCCAAGGCCACGTTCATCCATTCTCCAATGTGTGGAGTTCAACATGACCAAACCATGAACATCGTAGATTTTCTTAAGGGAACCAGGAAAAACTATATATAACAGTTGACATATTCCTCAGGCGATCGGGTTTCGAACCAGTTCGGGAACATGAAAAAGATCACCTGATCAGCAAAAACCATGAGTCTCGTGGACATGATGGGCTCCAAACGACATGTTCCCCATGCCCCATGCCCCCACAGCAACGACCACCTGCACCAGGGCGATGAAGGCGGCGGAAGTTTGATCGATTTGCAACCTGAGCTTCGGCCCCGTGGTCGAACTCCAACCACGGCCTCGACCCCCTGCCTCCATCCACCTCTGGCTGCACCTTCCCGACCGAACTGTGGAGTCCCTGTTTGTGAGCTGTCCAAGCCTGGGCCAGACCGAAGCAAGCCTGGGGATCAAGTGACCGGTCACGAACGGATCTACGAACGGGTACTTGGACCCAACGAAACAAGAACGACGATTGGGGTTCCATGTTCGGTACATCTCCTTGGAAACGACGTAGTCCTTGCACCCATTGTTCTGAAGTCCGACTTCAGACTTCAGGTCTTCAGGTAGTGGTTTTGTTCAGCTCACACACAAAACCATGTTCCTTCCTCAGTCACGTTTTCTCAGCGTCTTGTTTCAAAATGTGACCGGGAAGCTGATGGATCTGGCACTAGACTCAGTCCAAAGAGAAGATTTACAGGTAGCATCTCTTGAGTGTAGCTGAAACCAAACGCACTGGTGGCTTGTTGTATTTTCACAGCACTTGAATGGCATGCAAGGGTGACAGTGACATGCATCACACACATTAACAAATCCTCCCAAACAAGTGATCTTCAGGCTTTGATATAATGGCCGCACCTCAAAAAGCGAAGGTCCACATCAGCACGAGCAATTGCAGTGTGATATATTATGACTCTCTCTCTCTATATATATATATATGCGGCGACATTTCTTCATTTGTTCATTACCAAACTCAAATGCACTATCCATTATTTGACCCTATCTTCTCGTTCAGACTCCACTTCAGCAGCAAATCACAGTATCTCGTTCAGATTACTTTAGCGGCATCAAAAAAGATCAAACCAGTATCTGGTTTCTGTGAGGGCCCTATCTCGTTCACCAGTGAATACTGATGTTGGACAAAGAAATAGAGCATGCCGTAGTAAAGAAAATAACAACTAACTCAAGTATATAGTTTTTTTTACTTATGCAACATTGGGAAGTCCAAGCATGTCCAGGCACCCACCCACATACCTACCCAGCTGACCCAAGCCAACCCAATCCAACCCACTGAATAGATCTCAATTACCATTGGGTTCCACGTGGATTCGTCTGACGGAACCCCGCCCTTGCTGCCCCTAGGGAAGAGGGTCCGCCAAGGTGCCATGTTGCCATCCACGTAACCCTGATGATCCCAGGGAGCGTTTTTTCGGGCTTTCAAATTTTTGATTACATGATTAATTCCCATTTGGGCTCCTGTCCCATCTCCGACCCGGTGACCGGTGGTTTTCGACCCCCCAAGACCAGGCAGTTGGAGCCCTTTTTGGGGATTGATGCATTGCTGCATTGCTCGTTGTTCTTTCTCGACCCCTTCAAGACCTGAACGGCACAGCTGCGCCAAGCTGCCCCAGCGCTGGCGCCTCCGCCGAAAGGGAGGCCGGCAGGCCCTCACTGGGCCGGTGCGCCATGACTGAGCGACGAAAGACACCGAGAAACAAAAGAACCCACCCCCCAAAACAAGAACAGCACGCAAAGGAATTAGGCTATGTTTGGTGTGAGATGTTGATGCTAGATTTCTGCACATGGGGTGAACGTTTTGCCGAGTCTTCAAGGTGAACATTTCGGGATACATGCTGCATGTAGGTCTTTGAAGCGAGCCTTTTCGGGGAGCATCACCTCATGCAGTGACCATCTAAGTGGCCGACTTTCACGTCATGTATCAAGCTGATGTCGATGGTTGAGCCGACAAACCCAACGCACGGTTCAAGTATCAAGTGGGAAGCATGGACCAAGAAGCCAACAAATACCGGAGGTGTTTAAGTTGGTGGAAAATAGGCTCATCCAATGAGCCATGCTCATGTTGCACTTCCATTGGGACTGTACTCTTAGTCAGAACTCGTTGGCCAACTTCGCAACTCTTTCGGTTGACAGCCCCACGTGCAAACCCCAAAAACTGTTGCTGGACCCACCGATTGCACGGGTCTCTCGTGCCCACGCGAATTCTGGTCGCGGAAAAGGCCCTGTGTGGGCGTGCCTCATGGAACCTGAAAACCACCCGCTTCTCACCTGTGGAGGTAGTACATCCTAACTACCAGGACCCTCCAACAGGTGTCCAAATGACTACTGTTAGACCATAAAACCAATTGTCTACTGTTAGATTTTCATGTTTTTGTGAAGTTGATTTTGATGGTTTGGAACAGGGGACTTGTCATAGTGCTGCCCAGGGTTGCACGAAGGTCTCTGACGGCCTCGCGTGGGCTCGAGGCAAAGAGGACACTGATGATTGGCTTGGGACTGGAGAAGCTTAATCGGAACGGAAAATCACCAGATCGAATACAATTTTCATTAATAAATGAGCCCATAATATCTCACAGGAAGGGATCACACAATTGAACACTCATGATCAAATATCATCACCCATCGAACTTTGGTGGTTTGCCATGGGAAAGCCACGACGGCCACGAGCATGCACCGATTCGGCTGTGATACTTGGCTTGTTTTCTTACCATGCTTGCTGATAGTATAGGGTGGATTTGCTCAACCCAGCTTGGCGAGGTTGATTGGAACATATTGGAACTTAGGACCCTTGCAAAATCTATGATGGACCGTGTGGATGTGGAAGGGACCAAACATAGTGGTGATCTTGTACCTGGAGGCGATATCCGTATTCAGGGGAACCAGTGGCTGAGAGCTGCATTCTCTGATAGCAATTTGAAGAAGGTCCCGAGGGAGATGCAAGTGAGACATGCACTAACGATCTTGGTGAAGAAGAAACACATGCGCACGTTTCTTAGTCGTTTCTTTTCTGTGCATGGTTCATCAGTTATGTTTAGAACATGTTTGATTATTAAAACTATGGCCAAGGCTTTGGAAGGGATGCTGAACAACTCCACCAGTGGATCGTGGAGCAGGCTTTGACAAACCAAATGTTGTTTGATTGACATCTTTTCGGGTTTGCCCTTCTGTGAGGCTGAACGGTGTCATGGTATACTCTTGGCCCATCAGAAGCAAAAACGGGATGGCTTCAAGTTCGAAACGCCAAACTCCAAAAAGGCCAGACTTGATGAACGCAGGACTTTGAGAAAGAACCTTTGTTGCATCATGCCACCATGCATGAATGGTTGAACATGGTTGAACACTATACCCAGTCTCAGGGTTGGATTCTCAACTGGATTCTCATTAAGTGACATTCATCTTAGGAGATCTGGGTCGCACAATGATGTGGCGGACACCTTGCCGATGGATATGGACATCCATGACTCAATGGTTCCCGTGCCCGACTTTGATCTGGACAGGCTGCTTTGTCAGTGTATAGGGTATTGCATTACATGTGGTTTCCGCTCACCATTCTGTTGTTCCTTTGGTGTTTGCTATTTTTTCCTGCCTTCCTGTGTTGATTATATTTTGGATGCGGGTGGCATCCAAGGAACAAACCTCAGGATCCTTTGGAATTGTTTAGAACAGTCCGTTTTGTAAAGCCACCAAAATACCCAAATATGGTCCAGCTCAGGGCACATGGCCTTATTTGATTTGTTTATTGTGTTGGGATCCCCCTGCTGAAAAGAATACTTTGGTGGGTCAGTGGCCATTTGTAAATTTCTAGAAAATGAGCGAGCAGTGAGGAATCGCAGGGTCAATGCAGTGATCCTGATGGAGAAGCGGAAGCATGTGCTAGTGATGTTGAAGATGCTCAAGTGGACGATGATTATTGTCCTTCGGAACTTCTTTTCGGAAATGATTCTTCAGGGGATGAATTGGGTCCGGATGAAGAGGGTGACGAAGAGCATGAAGTAAAGACTGAGGTACAGCAAGAAGATGATGCTGAGCATGAAGGAGGTGATCAAGCAAGGGCTTCGGAGCAACTTGAAGTGGAGAGTGCAGGTGATGAAGCAGCTTCGGACCCACCATCGGAGGATGAGGATGATGATGATGATGATGATGATGATGGACCGGAGAAGGATGAGAAAAGAGGTGAGAACAACAATTGCCCTGGTGGTGATGAACAACAGCAGGAGGAGGGCAAAAGCAATGAAGATGCCAAGGAGGAGGAGGAGAAGGAGAAAGGTACAAGGGATGACGCAGCTTCAGATACAACGTCGGACGAAGATGAAGCTGAAAAGGATGACAAAGAAAATGAGAAAGCAGAGTGCCTTGGTGCCCAAGATGATGAGGAAATGAAAAGCGATTGTGGGAGTGATGACGCGTCTTCGAATCCTCCGTCAAATGATGATGAGGATGATGGACCTGAGAAAGATGACAAAGAAAACAAGAAAGCAGAAAGTCTTGGTGCCCAAGATGATGAGGGGAGGAAAAGCGATTGTGGGAGTGATGACGCGTCTTCAAATCCTCCCTCAGATGATGATGAGGATGCTGGGCCTGAGAAGGACGATGGGAAGAAAAACGATTGTGCGGGAGATGATGCATCTTCAAATCCTCCGTCAGATGATGAGGATGAAAAAAAATTTCATGGCCGGAGAAGGATGACACTGGAGAAAAGATAGAAAAGGGTGGTGATTTGAAGGACAATGCACAAGAGGATGATGAAGATTGTGATGAGCGGCGGGCTGGAGGTGAAGAAGATGAAGACAAAAGGGAAGGAGAGAAAGCTGATGAAGCTGAGGATGATGGGCCTGAGAAGGATGACAAAGGAGAAAAGATAGAAAAGGGTGGTGATTTGAAGGACAATGCCCAAGAGGATGATGAGGATTGTGATGAGCAGAGGGCAGGAGATGAAGAAGATGAAGACGAAAGGGAAGGAGAGAAAGCCGATGAAGCAAGTGACAATGAGACGGGAGCTGACAGCAATGAAGAATCAGAAGAAGCGGTGAACAATGAAGGTGAAGCCTGTGGTGAAGGAGAACAACACAGTGAGAATGATGATGCAAATTCAGATAAGTCAAGTATTCAAGGTGATGACGAGATCGAAGATGAGGAAGCTCAACACAGGAGGAATTGGCGTGATATAGTACAACTCCGTCAAGAACTCGATGAGCTTTCTGAGCGCAGGAGAAATGCAGGTCCACCTAGCCAGAATGAAACCTCATCTGGCATGCACCCTTCACCAGAAGAAGAAGGAATTGACCACCCTGTCTCAGAAGCGATGCCCAAGCTTCACTGGGTTCCTGTGTCAACCAACCAGGGTGAGAGTAGTGAAGAGGAAAATGACGAAGAAGAAGAACTAACTTGTGATGGAGGAAGTGCTGATGAAGATGACCAAAGGGGTGCAGCAGAAAATGAAGACACCAGAGAAGGGCGCTGCGACATGGACGACTCGGACAGTGACAACATTGAAGATGAGGTTGTCAATGATGCAGTGGAAGATGCAGTCACAGAAGCAGTGATGCCCTCGGCTGCAATGATCAATGAAAAGACAGTGGGGACACTAAGCAATGAACAATCACAAACCAAATTGGATGTCAAAAGTGAGAAGGAAGAGATCAAAATGGAAGTGAAAGAAGAAATGAATGCATCTCAGTCAGAGTCTGAGAAGGAATGTGAAACAAACACGAAGAAAAAGGATAGTGACCCCAGCTCTAGCTCTAGCAGCAGCACTACCAGCAGCAGTGAGAGTGAGCAAGAAGATTCAAAGTCAAACAGCAGCAGTGAAGATGAAGCAAAGGAGGCAGCAAAGAAACCCGAAGATGAGAATACAGTACCAAAGATGACAACGCTGGGGTCCCTCAGTTGCATCTGCGCTTGCAATACAAGAATATTATGAGATGGACACAAACTCGGACATCTACCCCCTTTATCCGTTCCAAGAAGTTCTCAAGGAAATATCGTCAAACCACAATCCCTGAGATCTTGGGATTACTCGGATATGCCACCCTAATTTGCATTAAGAAGGATTTATGTTTTTGCTCGTTCCAAACAAATGTCTTTGCAAGTGTGAGTAGTTTAGTCTAGCTTCCCTGTGTTTACATTCATGTTAACTCAGGCTGACTTCGAGAAAAAGTTAGATGAGGAGATTGATCGGGCAGGTGGTGGTGATGCCAAACGGAAGGACACACCTGAACCTCCACTTCGACGTGTCAGATCCAAACAAAGTTACTTGTCTTTGACTTTATGAGCCCGAAATGCCCTTATTATAAAACAAAAAACAAATAAACATAATTCTCGGGCATTGCTCTCCTGCTTGCACCCGTCAAGGTCAGCCGAATGTCATGGCCTCTGCCACCAGCAAGGTTGAAATCAAGCAGGAGGAGGCACAGGCCTGACCGTGAGTGAGATTGAATTACAATCAGGACCCTCCAACAGCTCTCCTTTGCAGGGTTGTTAGGGCTTAAGAGGTCTAAATTGGTGACCTATCTTTAAGTCTGGCCAAAGTTCTGATGGTTGAATTGGTTGTGTTTGTTATTCTGCTAGGATGGCAAAGATTTGAAGAAGAAGAAGCAAGGTGGTAAGGAGAAGAAAACCGTTGTGCACACGGAGAAAGTTGAGGACTTTGCTGAGCTATCAGGGGCTCGGTTACAGTTCAGAATCTCCCGTGTACAACAAGAAGCCTTAGACAAGGCCACTGGTCATGTTCCGCACCCTTTACAACAGCTGGAGTTGATGAACAAAAAAAAGGAGAAAGGTCCCAAGGCGTATCATGCAGGCAAAAAAAAAAATCGTTATTTTTGGTTTTGTGTTTATGTTGGCATAGACGTGATGAAGAAATCGGAAAACACAAAGTTATTGCTTTTGTCTTCGGAAATCTCTAAACCTCTCGGGGAGAAAACTGAGGCGGTATGTGGTTGCCAATAAGCTTGCCATGCAGGACTGGACTGTGGAGTTGCGACAGCGCATGCAGGGTGCTCATCAAGGTGATGTCTATGCTGTGTTTGTGGACAGCAAAGGTCAACAGTACTACACCAAGACTCTTGCTTGCGCATAAATACCCACTTAGGAATGGGAATGTTCGGAAAGGTCTGCAATGCATGACATATGTTATGGAAAAGTGTTTGATGCATATTGATGCCATACTGCCATTCCGATCCAAATCAACTGCTAAGGAAGGCGGCAGAAGCCAAAGGCTTTAATGATCCAGAAGATAAAGTTAAAGCTGCAAAAGCCAGGTTGCTTGCCTTATATTACATTTTTCTTGAGCTTGAGACCAGTTGTTATCTTTGTTTACATGTGGTGCACTGGCCTTAGGCTGAAGAATGAAAACAAGAAGAACCCTGATGAATGTGATGGAGGTAAGAAGCCGAAGGCTTCCCAAAAGCGAAAACCTGATGCATGTGGTGAGGGTGCGAAGCCGAAGGCTGCTCCCAAAAAGAGAAAGACAACATAGATCTCGCATCCCTCATATAATATATCGATCACATGTGCAGCTTACCTCAAGATACTTGAGAAAACAGTTTTGCCACTATTTTTTCTGCAGGGATGTTCATACGCCCATGCATAAATTGAACAGGCCACTGTCTTGTGTTGAGTTCATTGGGCAATTCATGGTTATGTGCTTGAACACTCTGAGTGTCAACTTCGTTGGTTGATCATATATGACACCCTGACCTAACTAGAAACTGAATGAGCCTCGTGATGTTGTGTCGCAAGCCCTTTGAGCAGGTAGGCGCAATTAATGGCATGTGGCCTAGCCTTTACTGCTCTTCACAAAAGGTGAGGTCAAATGGAACACATACCACAATGTGTGCCCAAAATATGAGCCTGGATCTTCTGCTCCACAGAAACTAAGTCTTCAAGCTGACCTGCGGTGGAGTGAGTAAGCAAGTCAGTTGGAAAGACGTGTTTCGGAGGTCCTCTGGCTCGCAGCCGGTGGTCGTAGGTAGCTGCGGTAGCTCACACTGTGCAGACTTTAGGGATATGGATCCGAAACAGCTGCTACTTGTACTTTTGTACATCTCGCAAATCCCTCGCCCGTCTCCGGATCAAGCCCTTGATGCGGTGCCCTAGCCTGTATAACCACAAGTTCTGTGGGAAGTACACATGTCTCTTGAGTCTGAGTATATATAACGTTCTTCCTGCCATTGTAGGAAATAGGAACAAACTGGACTGGCTGAGGTGGAAATATGTGCCGGAAAAGGAGAGCTTTCTCGGGCTCTTCGGGATTGTGGCATGGCTACCAAATCATTTGATGTGGCTTGTTAGCAATCATGGAGCTTTGGAAATATATCCAAACAACTGTCAAGTTGGGGGTTGAACATGTATCCTAACAACTGTGAAATCAAGGTCCGTTATTCTGCGAACCATAATCTCTTGCGCACAGTCGGCTTTGTCACGATGCTTTGTGCAGTGCTCCTGGAACATGTAAAAGGCTGTGCTAAGTACACTTGGTATTCTCCTTCCCTGGACTTCTTTAAGCTTAAGCATCTGTCAGGTACGAAACATGCGCCAAAAAGGATTGCTATTTGCTGGACCCCCTTGTGCGACTTGGGTGTTTTTGTGCCCTGGCTGGTGGCCAACAAGAGTCTTTGAACGTTTTGAAAACACTGACAATGGTCTTTTGTGAGAGATGGAAGCTCTTGTTTGATTCGGGTTCTGAGGTCCCAAGGGACGACCAAACGCAACTGGTGGAATCCGGAGGGAGGGGACTCCAAGAAGGTTGTCCTTGCGAACATCCTTTGCATGCGGCTATTGTACCTGTAACTTGGGCATAACACTGATGCTAGCAATATTAGAAAACACAACATGGTGTTTGCCTCAGGTTATATTATGCGCATCAACGTGGAATATACTGGGCAGTTGAACAACCCATGAGCTCCGTGGAATGCTCACATGTTTGATCGGTACAGGGTTTACCTGAATTATCCAGTGGGTTTGACCGATAGATTGTTCAGGTGCTCTTCATCTGGCCCCCGATGGCAAGATTTCTGCGTTGGGCAAATGCACGGACAGGGTTCTTGCACATAACTTGTTGAAGGTGATTGATTGTGGAATTGCACATTGATTTCAACTTCCACAGTAAAAAACATAATGAAACGTGATCTTGGATTGAGGAGGGTCTGCTTTCCGATGGGATCGTATGGAGCGGCCACACTTAAATACACAGTGTGCCTTGGATTCCCTTGGATCATGATTGGGTTGGCTGTAAATTAATAGTTTGCTTTCTAAAACCTTGAGGATCTGGACCACCCTGCCCGCAGCACATCACCTTCGCCGAGCCTTGGATGTGAAACAATTGCGTCTGGCCTTGCAAAGGACAGATGGAGCTATCTTTTGTGCTTCACGTGTTCTTTTTTGTATTGCCTTGAATCTTGTGAAAGAGGACTTTGGAAGACAAGTCATTGGTGAGAAAGTCCGTTGATAAGAATGGCAAGTTGAGAGTGGCATCTGGTCTGACTATCTGTGCAAAGAATTAGTATCATGTGAAGTTGATTTGGAGCACTTGGTGAAATTATTGTTTCTTACTTGTTTGACTCAGGCTGGGAAGCGGAGTGCCCTCGCCCAATCGGCTGAATATCCCCGGCCATTTGGGATGGCCGTGGCAGCACTGGTGCCAGAACGTGGAGATGTTCCTGAAGATGACTTCGTTGACTTGACATCGTATACGGGCCAGGACCACTTGGGCAGCCTACATGACTTGATCAAGGGCCGGAAATTGGCCTGGTGGCGCCAGGCATACAATATCCACTAGTGGGTTGGACTACAACATGTCTTTCATTCTTCAATCATGGGTGAACTGTTAATCGAAACATCAAACAAATAGTGTATGATTGTAATGGTATGTTTGATATGCGCCACAAATGACACATGGGGGCCCTTCATGGGGGCATCGCACGGCCAGGCCACAAGGGACTGCCATAGGTGCACCACCCAAACCTGTAATTCGAAAGCCTCCCTACAAACCTGCACAAACAACAAAGTGGATGTTGATTCCAATTGTCTGCATGGGTGGTTCACCTGTAGGATGCCTGTTTTCACTCGATGACCGTGTGAAAAAATGTGGTTGAATTTGAAATGTGATTCTATGTTTGTTTGGGGCACTTTGAACATCTTAAGGTTGGCTATATATAGCTATAGCTGCTGCTCAAACCATCCTTTCTGTTAGTGCTTCCAATGGCGACCTCGGCCCGGGCTACCTCCAAACGTGCACGTCAACAAGAAGATTTGGAAATCCTTGGTTGCGATTACCTGTGTTTGTCATGTTGGTCACTATGCCTTTCGGAGTGGTTGACCCCGTATCTTGTCCAAGATGTTCAAACTGTATGCAACAAAAAGACACACTTAATATCTGGTCCAGCCGTTCGAACCCAGGAATGAGCAAAAAACTTTATCTTGGATTTCGAAGGACTGCAACTGCGATTATTTGTCAGTCCTGGCCATGAAAAGGCTGGAACAATCGAAAGATGCACCAGCTCGCAGCAGTACAGATTTGGTGCAATAAATTCAATTGAGTGAACTGCTCACTAATTTGGAACCGAGATCTTTGGTGGGGAGTACAAAAGATTTCCGAGCTGAGATTCCAGAACCCATGCGCAAAGCAAAGTTAGGCTCCCGAGCGGAAATTGGAATTCCGACACTTTTTGGCCTGCCGTGGTGAAGGCTCTGGACATCACACAAACCCAACGTGTCATTGCGTGTCATTGCGTGTCACTGGCATCGTTTTGGAAATGTCTAACAGGTGGCCAAGTGCAGACTGTTAAACCTAACAGGTTACCAATTGTAGCCTGTTAGATGATGTTCCGAACTGCTCTAGAACGTGTCAAAACGTGTCAAATCGTGTCTTCCGAATTGCTAAAACTTACTTTTTTTCAGAAATCTGTGTGGTCAAATTTTCTCCAAATCCGGAGCCGGAGGGGTATTTTTGCCATGGCCGCCGACAAGACTGAGAAGAAGGTCTGCCTATTATGTGCATTCTGTTTTGCAAAGTAGTTTCGATCAACCATGCTTGGGGCATGTTCTGGCATATTCTGACCAGGTGGAGGATCCAGAAAAGTTACGCAAGCAAAAGGCCACACCTATGTCTGAGAAGGAAATCTTGCAGGAACAACAAAAGAAGAAAAAGGCAAAGCAAGCCCAAGATTTGGAAGACTTGCGCAGGCTTTCTCATACCCTGCAAAAGAAAGCTGAAGAGAAGAAGGAAAGTCGTCAGAGGGCGAAGGAAGAGGCTGAGAAGCAAAGGATTGAGGCCGCCACAAAGGCTCAGGGTTCCAAGTCCAAGAAGGATCAGCAGACCGATATGGACTCTGACACGAAGAAGGCAGAGGCTGCAAAGGCTGACAAGAAGCAGGAGCAAAAGGACAAGAAGGCACAGGAAAAAGGTTCCTCAGATGTTGCTGACCCGACCACCAAGAGT